TGAAGAAAGTGCAGCGGACTTGGGGTCAGGAGAACTGGATGCTAGGTACTTTCTAGCTCTGTCACTTAATAGTTGTGTGACTCTTGAATGAGTCACTTAGTGCCCTAAAATTCAGTTTCTTCAACCCTAAAATGCTTCACGGTGCTGTTTATTATATATAAAGTCCCAGCCACAGGCACGGTCTGCCTCAGTGTTCCTATAAAATTAAATGGTCAGACACGATTGAAACTGTGGGCACTCCTTCCCTAGAGGTCTTTAGATATAGAGCACCTTCTGGTCCAGATGTCCTAGCTACGGACTGTCTGAGGGCAGAGGAGTGAACCAGACCACCTCAAAGCATTATTCCACCCCAGGGTTATTAGCATCAGTGCATCAGAATAGAAGAACCAGTGTGATGAAAGTTGTTTCCTTCTTTTCCAATTTTTGGATCGTTTTCCCTCCAAATGGAATTGAATATGACACATAGGGCAGAATGCTGGGATCTGATGAGACACCTGCTCCTGGTTTGACTTCCCCCTACAAAGTGAGTCTTCCTGTTTTTTGATGTAAATTGCCTTACTTGACCCAACTTTATGTTGCTTCTCTGTTTGCTGAAAGACATTGGAGATATTTATGTCTTGGGTAGAGATGATTCCCTAAAGGACAATGTTCATTGATTTGTGATCACATGAGGCATTGGGCAGATTCTCTCGTAGACAGTAGAGCTGCCCCAAAGGTGCTCTTAGACTTACCTAGAAGGGGAAATATTACTGTCTTAGGTGTGAATGGTTAGTGTTTCCCCCAGAAAGGTGAGAAAGCAGTGAAAATGACAGGGGAGGGACCTACAGCTGGAGATTTTTTGGAAGAAAACTAGCCTGGTATAACTACCACTTTCTCTTGTAGCACTAGTTTCTTTGTGTGGCTTTCTGGTGGCTTGAAGAAGCTACTTTTCTGGTGACCGTAGAGACAATAGGCTCTACAAGTGAAGTGGGCGTGGGGGGAGGGAAATGGAAGAAAATAATAGAATTTTAGAGTTTGATGGGAAGCAGTAATCTTGCACCTCAACCTCCCACTGAGTAAGGAATCTTAGAGCACCTCTGAGGTGGCCATGGCCACTCATTCCTTGATTAATAGTCTACCTCCTGAGAAAGCCTGTCCTGTCCTCAGTTAAGCCAGGCATGCCTTTGGAAAATGAGCTCGTTTTGTGGTGAAATCTTTCTCTTTCAAATTGTAGTCCCTGGTTTTCTGTCATTTTAGAGGATCCTGGGCCAAATCTGTTTTCTTTCACTTAGCAGCCCTCTGAATATCTGAAGAAAGTCCTCACAACTTACCTTATTTTTCTTGTCTAAATTAAATCTCCCCATTTTCTTCAGCCATCTTTGAAGAATATATATTCCAGACACAGAATACCCTTCTCTGGTACACACTGCAGTTTTCTAAAAGTTTCCCTTCTTCTGTCCCATAGGGTATAGGGAACCCACCTTTTGTCTGGTTCCCACAGTGAGAACTGTCTCTTACATGAAGAGTCGAGACTTGAGTGGCGGGTCTTACGACTGGTTCACTCACTGATATCAGAAACAGGAACCTTCACTGTGGACCTGGATGTCTGGACTCAGGAAGTCCAGACATTGAGGCCTGATGAGTGGCCTCAAAGGTGCTTCCTGTACAATACCTAACATCCCTGAGCCCCAAGTTCACATGCAGCTACCCTTTCAGAGATCTGAACTATTTCCAACCCTGTTGGCAATTCTAAGAGAAGGAGAATTACCCCATGTTCTCTACCCATCAAAAAAGTTTGCCGCTATCTCCCTAATCTTAAAACCCCAGGCCAAAAGGCCCAACTGGTGGCTTGAATGGCACACTGATCTGCTTTATAGCCTCTTCCTGGTTCCTAAAGACAGAAGCAGTTACAGGTTCGCAGAGCTTTCCATCCTCTTCTGAACTGACATGGCTTCAGGCTACAGCAAGGAATTAGCAGGCACAGAACACAGAATCTGGCCCCAGAGGTTTATAAATGAGAGAAGGAGACACCAAAGGCTGAAATCACTTCCTAGCATTTCCTTTCATCCTTTCCTGCAGAGTCTGCTGCACCAAAACCACATTCTTCCTGTGAGACCCTCATCCCAGAACCATGGAGGGCTCCTGCTCTTATGAGCAGTTACTGAGGAGAGTGGGATGTGCCACCTGAACGTGTGCACGGCAGTCCCTGTCCGGCAGCTTACAGTCAGAGATGGCTCAGCACGTTCTGTCTAGAATGAGAGAGGTGTTAAATTAGCAGTAGTTCACAGGAAGAGGAACAGGCTTGGAGAAGTGAGTGAAGGGCCCAGAGTTCCACAGTGAAGTGTACTGGCAGGAATAGGGCTGGAGTCCAGTTCTGTTGACTTCTAATCCCAAACTCTCTTTAATACAATATATGTAAAATCATGTGTGTGTGTCTGTATTTATACTTCTATATGTATGTGTATGCATGGATGTGTGAAATTTTCATTTGTAGAAGGCTTCATTTCACCCATATGCTCTAATTTGATTCTCACAATAACCCCACTTGACAGGTAAGGGAGCTGAGGTCACACAGGTAAATGGTAGCCTGGGTTCATATCCAGGCTTCCGGGTTCCAGCTCCCTCTTCTTCTAATTGCATAACATGCTATTTGATTTCAGTGGGTGTCACCAAATTCCTCTTCAGGACCCCTGTGGAATGAAATTCTCTTTTCCCCTGTCCTTCTCTAACGTTGTCAACAAAGCCAGAACATAGCTCCTCACCAAGATGGTGACAAGGTTAGATGCACGAGAGCATAACTGGAAATGCAGCATATTGGTAAGCCAGTGAGAGTCACTTCAGTCACTCTAAAGAGCACGTATAAGCAGGACAGGGGCCAAGGTGTGGCCAGGTTCAAACATCAGAGCTGTGATCCTGGAGGCAGGGACATAGAGTTGGGTAAATAGGGTTAGAGGCCTGTGCTCTTGGTTGATGGAGAAACAAGCTCATAAAATGGTGCCACACTGGACCATCATTTCCTCATGTTTCATGGTTTTGCATTTATGCAGTTCTTATGTCTTTTTATCATAATCTTAACAAATGTCTTATCCACACATTATCTTGAAAGTCTGAGAAGATGCCACCACTTTTGAAGAACATTCTTAGAGCAGTTGTTCCCCTCTTCGTCCCCAACCGGCTAGAGTTCTGAGTTGAGGCAAAGGAAGGCAATGGGCATTTACTGAGCGTTTATACTATGTATCAGGAACTTTACATAGATGACTTCATTTACTTCTCTTCACAGGAGAAGTTTTACAGTTGAAGAAACTGAGGCTCATAGAGATGATGTAACTTGCCTCAGGACACAGCCAGCAAGTGGTAGAGCTGGGATTTGACACCTCAGCCTGTTAGACTAAGGCATTTGGTTGGTTCCTTCCACGTGGTACACGTGGTCTTCCTGACATTGGGCAGGCTCAGCTCCTAATATCTTGGGTTCTAGAGGACCCTGAACTGTCACAATCACTGCTGAGGAGTCAGTCCCTTTGCCAGACGTGACTTTGTGAGTCATTACTGAATGGCAGTGGGAGACTTAAACATACGGGCCTCAGAAAATCAGACAAGGATGAGAATTTTAGAGCCAGAAGGGACCTTACCAAATATATAGCAACTCTTGAATTTTGCAGATGAGGAAACTGAGGCCTAGGGGTTAGGATTAAAGGATTTGCCCATGTTATTTAGTGAACCAGAACCAAGTCTCCTGCCTAGAATGAAGACCAGGAACTCAGCACACCAGTCATGAACTACTGGGAAATGGAGAGACGGGATAAAATGCTCACGGGAGTTCTGCTGGGATAAATAGGATTGAGTGGAAAGAAAAGTGGGAGCAATGTACTTATAGCCAGAAAAAAGAGCCAGTATGTGAACCAAGACTGAATACAGATCTAGCGTGGGCTAAAGAGGCTCAATAAGTGACTTCCCAGATTGTGTTTTGTTCCCTTTGCATATACAGTTGGAAACCAAATGCAAGCCACCAAGGTTGCAGTGAAACAGCAAACAATTATAGCGCAAATAGTTGTGGTCAGCTGTGGGAACACAAGCCACCTGCTCCAAGTTTATAGCTTTGTTAAACTTGGTAAACATTAAAAAAGGAATGGGAGCGCTCCCAGTTTGTATAGCATCCCATACCCTTCCTGGGAGGCCTTCCTCCAGGATGGGGTGGCCTAGAGCTGCTTTCTGTGTTGCCAAAGTCTCTAGAAGAGACTGAGGGAGGTAGAGTATCACAGAATCATACACTTACAGAGTTTGAAGAGACCACAGAGCCCCCAGAATATAATTTCTCTCCTAATGTTCAGATAAGGAAACTGCGTTCCAGAGAGGTGATGTGCCCAAAACTATAAAGTTAGGGGCAGAACTGACTCTTTTTTTATTCTTACAGTGATTTTATTTTATTTATTTCTCCAGGGTTTTATTTACATTTATTTTTTATTAAATTAAAAATTAATCCAAATTAACCCCAAATTAAATCTTTTAATTAAATCCAAAATTTTAATTCATTAGCACTGACTCCTGATCTCTGAACTTCTGATCCTTTGTCCAGTGCTCCTTCCTTTAAGCCCCACAAGGTTTGTAGATGGAGACAAACAGGGAGTTACAGCATTACAGAATGTTATAGCTGGAATGGATGTGGTTCTTAACCACCACTGTTTTTGGTTGTCACATGACTGGGGGTGCTATTAGCATTTAGTGGGTGGGGACCAAGGATGCTAAATAGCTTAAAATGTGATCATCCTGCATAATGAAGAATCCTGTGGTCCAGAATCCAAGAGTGTCCTTGTTGAGATATATTTTGTCCACCGTTTGACTTTATGGCTGGGGACTCTAAGCCTAGAGACAGGGAGGGGCTTGACCAGGGTCCTAAAGGGAGTAAGCAGTCCCTGAGTGAATCAGCAGCAGCCTTGGTGCCCTGAGCAAAGCGGCACTCCAGCTCCCTGCACACCCAGCTCCTGCTGCGCTCGCTCCGAAGCTACTTCCGGGTCGGCACTTACTTGGACTTCAGGCCCTCCTGTCCATAGGGCTGCAGTAGGTACTGGTGCACAAGCTTGTCCCTGAGAGTCCCGGCCAGTTTAATTTTCTTTCTTGATCGGTGCAAGTTGATGATAAAAAGTGTAATGGACCCTCGAACATAGTTGTGGCTGATATCCAGAGAGAGAGAGAGAGAGAGAGAGAGAGAGAGAGAGAGAGAAAGATGGAAACACAGTGGTCTGTTAGATGCTTCTAGATCATTTACAGGCTGCACGAAACAGGACTACCCCAGGAAAGGGCACTTATTTTACGGTTCTTGGCCATCCTAGCCCTTCAAAGACAGGAAGGCCTTGTTACTGTGGTGTCCTGCAAAGAAGATACCCACTTCCCACCACACCCCTTTTGTTTTTGTTTAAATGTATTGCAATAATTTTAGAAAACAAAATATCTTTTTCTGAATATGGAAGTAAAATATGCTGATTGGAAAAAAAGGAAAAATATAGAGAAACACAAAGAAGAAAAAGAAAAATCTCCCATAATCCAAGTGTCTTAAGATATGATAACATTTTGGTAGATACCCTTCCAGTATTTTTTAGTTTATTAATTTAACAAATATTTACTGAGTTCTTTGACACATACATATATATATTTCTCAGTTTTTACATAATTGGGATCACATTGTTCACCAGTTCTTTTAGTTCGTGAACATCTTAAACATGCTGCCATGTTATTGTTACTATATATATATCTATATATATATAGATATATATATAGATATATATCTATATATATATATTTTTTTTTTTGCGGTACGCCGGCCTCTCACTGCTGTGGCCTCTCCCGTTGCGGAGCACAAGCTCCGGACGCGCAGGCTCAGCGGCCATGGCTCACGGGCCCAGCCGCTCCGCGGCACATGGGATCTTCCCAGACCGGGGCACGAACCCGCATCCCCTGCATCGGCAGGCGGACTCTCAACCAGTGTGCCACCAGGGAAGCCCTATATATTCTTCACTTATAAAAGAATATTGAGTTCTTCAATCACAGAAATTTATTTAACTAGGCTCCTCCTTTGGGGACTTATGTTGTTTGTAATTTTTTGCCATTATAAATTATGTGATGCAGGACCTCATTTATATAAACTTTTTGCACTTCATGATTATTTCTGATGGATAAAGTGCTGGAAGTTGGAAACACTAGGTCAAAGGGAATGCAGTGTATGATTCCTCACCATATCTGATTCCTACCCAGTTGGTGCCCCTCTCTGTGGGAAGATTATTTTGTCCCTGCTCTGTTGAACACTAGAGTGATCACATGATTGGCTTTGGTCAATGCAGTGTGGGTGGACATGTTAAAACCTCTGGGGCAGAGGCTTTAGTAAGCAGCCCATATTTTGCCATGTCTCTCTTCCCTCTGCCAGAAGACTGACAATGTTCTTGAGAGAGGCTGCTCTATTGATCTGCATCCTGGAATGAGGATGATGTGGAGAGAGATACAGCTGAGCCATGACAGACAAGTAGTGTGAAAGAGAAATACATTTTCGTATTGAAAGCCATGGAGATTTGGAGGTCCTTTGTTATCAGAGCATAACCTCATCTATCCTGACTAATATACACATTTTGATAATATTGATATTATCTAGAAAGCTTGCATCAGTTTGCTCTGATCACCTACGTATGAGAGCACCCATATCCTCATACCCCTAAGAACACTGGATATTAACCTTTTAAAATATCTTTCTCAACCTGAGAGGTGATAATGGGATTTCAATGTTGTATTAATTTGTATTTTTAAAAAATTCACACTGAGGCACAGTATTTTTTTTTCATTTGCCTCTTTGCCATTTCTTCTTTTGTAAACTGTTCATGCCCTTTGCCCATTTTTCTATTGATGTATAAAAACTATTTATTTATTAAAGATAGTGATCCTTTGTTTGCATGTATATTGCAAAATTTTTCCCAGTTTTCTTTGACTGATTCAATTTGTTTGCATTGTATTCTGATGTACAAAAGTTCAAAACTTCTAGGCAGTCAAATTTATTGACCTTTTTTATTTCTACTTTTGCTACTTTACCTACCCCATGATTATATAACTATTCACTGTTTTGGAATCCTTTTAAACCAGCACAGGTTTAAAAAATGGCCCCATCCTGCTTTCAAAGGAGAAATTCAGAGTAACTCTAAGTCAACTGTGCCCACAGGAAAATATCATTCTTTTCAGAAACAGCATACCTCAGCCTCTAGGGTCACTCATCTATGCCTCTAAATGTGCTAATTAAGAGTTGAGTAACCAAGGGCCAGTCATTGTGATAACTTGGATTAAAAAAAAATACAGAATACAGTTTCCAGGTCTCATCCCTTTATTTAATCCATTTGTGATTGGGGTCTGGGAATCGATATTTAAAAAAAATCTTTCCAGGATATTTGGCAGATGAGTTTGGTTTGGGAACCACTTGCCTAGAGCAATCCATTAAGGTTATGAGAAGAATTCCCAGAGTATACCCTTTTGGCTGTGTGTCCGATGATTTTTCTTGCATCTGTAGGAGGGTACATTATTGCATTCAAGGTTTTTTGGATACCTGAATTGATATTCTGATAAGTTATTAAATGACTCTTCTATTTGGTCCCTCCTCCTCTGGTCCTTCTTCTCGGTCCCCTGAAGCATGTGAACTAGCCTTTGGAGCCAGAAGAGAATTGCCAATTTATTTGTGCAGACTTGTGTCATCAGAGATCTCAAGAAAGATGCTGCTAGCCGATGTTAGCATTTACCAACATTAAAGAACACCAACAAAATTCCATTGGTGGGCTTTAAGCTTAGCTTAGCTGTGTGCAAAACTGAGGAAGACATCATTAACTACAGGCACTGCGGGCTTCAGTGTGTGAGCAAAAGCAGGCGTGCATGAGTACCAATTTTCACAGACTGTGGTAAAACCTTCTGCTAACTCCCATCAAACAACCTTCTCAAAGGCTAGCAGCAGAGGCGGACAGAGCTGCGTGTTTGCATTTAGGAGTTTCTCCTCTGCAGAGCTGGGGCAGAATGAGCCCTTGGAGATGGCAGAGGAGAAGGGAGGGATGTGGGGAAGTGGTGGGTGGGAGGGAGACCTGAAATCACACCACTGCTTCAGGGAAAGCTATCTTTTCAAGCTGCTCGGCAGTGGTCTGATTTCCATTTACACAGTTCCACTGGGGGAGACAAGCCAGTACTGAAAGCCAACCCAGACACCAACTTGCCGAGGCTCTCACGGAGCTCACGGAGCCTCCTCAGGTCGGAACTGGCATTGAAGACCCCCTCGGTCATCACTTTCCCTGCTTGGCTGATGGGCAAGGACATTAAGCAGAGGCCTTTGGCTGTGAAGACCCATTCTTGGCTGGGGAATGCAGCACCAACCTGAAAGTACTATGCTGAGAAACCAGATTCCTGAAGAATGTACATTCTCTGCCGACAGAAAAATAATCTTGGAGGACTATCTGTTCCCTAAGGAAATGGGGTCTTACTGAAGGTGTGGACTGGAGGCAACTGCTGACCTTCTGATGTTGTCAAGTCCAGGGGGCTTTTGGTTCTCTTAGTTAATGCCCCTTCTGTCTGGTAGAACATCTGTCTTGTTCCATGTCTCACTCATGGTAAGACTTTGTCACCAACAGAGAATGCATGTATCTGGAGTTCATCTTTCTGGCTGTTCTTTTGCTGCCTGACATCCCTATGTTGCCATGTGGGAGGGGGAGGAAGTGAGTCAGGAGTGGGGACTGGGCCTGGAATATCATGGATAGAAGAGGCGAGGGGTGTCATATGGGGAGGTGCATCTTGACTTACAGATGAAAAACAGTCCCTGTTCTAGAAATGTCTCCAGTGAAGCTGGCCATTTCCAGTGAAAGTCTATGTGTTTGAAAACTGTGTTGGTCCATTGTCTCCAAATCTAATTCAAAGTTCTTGGGTTCGGTAAAAGTCAGGCCATGTCTTGCCAAACATCTTTTTCCCTAATTTCAAAGCCGCTGTGTATTTTAAGCGAAATGTAATCCACATGTTTCTGATTCATTTACACTTAACTCATCAAAATATTGTTTTGTAAGAGCTATTTGATGTCCAAGAAGCCTCAGGAACCTTTTTATGAGTCTTTAGAAAAACTTCTTCTGAAAAACAGGAAGTTGTGCTTTGCTAATAATAAACGAACTTGAACCCCAAGAGGCTCAATTTTGCTTCAGTATCCACCAGGCTCCAGTTGGTTCTGAACTTGGCTAAGGACCTCAGCTCCTCCCAGAAACATACATTGTGTTAGCAGAATGGTTTAGAAAAAGAAGGTTTCCTAGTCAAAACTTATTCATTCTCTGAATAAGACTTAGGGTGAGAACTGCTATGCTGCCAGTGTCCTAATTTGTTGGCTCTAGAACAGAAAGCAGAAAAGCACCTGCTAGTGTTGGTATGAGCATCTAACTCTTTATCCTAAATCAGTCATAAAAGACAATGGTCTTCTAGGTCAGAAACGACCCACAGTGTAAGAGATGCCATGAGAGGGAGTGAGGTATTCAAGTAGAGGTTCATGACTGTCAGGGAGATTGTAAAGGGCATCTCTGTGTTATATAGGACACCAGGCCAAAGATCTCTAAGGGCTCTTTCCAAATGTAAAAATCTTTACATTACTAATGTTGCTACTTGCCTATACGTGTGATACCATAGAAGCTTTGGAATTTAATACGATAATACAAATGCAAATATCTGGCAAGATGCTTGGCACATAGCAAGTGTTCAATACAGACTGGAGTGCAGGAGTTATTTTAAAAGACCCCTTCTTTGGTTTATTCTACTGGTAAACTTATACTTTCTCACTCAATTCCCTATTTTGAGCAAGGATATATATTTTCAGAGTATTAGTCAAGACTGGACAGCGTGAAGCTAACATGCCCACTCTGGGACATTTCTGTGACCTTGGCCTCTTTGGCCACAGATAAACTAAGTGAACCAGGAGTGCTTCCTCGTGACTGCTATGGAGGATGCGGGGGCACAGACAGGGCACGTGGCTTCCCACAGAGAAGGAGCAGAGACACTTCTACCTTTGTGCCCACCTATCTAAGGCACCGGACACCCACGGACATGGAGAAGATCTGCAAACTCAGCCAGCTCAGCGCATCCACGGTGGGCTTTCTTCTCTCATAGGAACAAAAAGACCTTCACCCCAGTAATCACTAAGGTCATCTGTGGAACAGATTAGTAAAGTCATTTCTTTCTTTTATGTAACAGGGAGAAAGAGGGATGGAACTGACAGAAGCACAGTGGCACGGTTTCCCCAGAGAGGTTCTGGAGTGACTTTCCATAGAAAGCAGAGGAGACCTGGTGATGGAGAGAGAATATTGAATGCAATGAATGATTTGATGCTAGTGAATGGCGGAATTCTTAACCATTCCACCACACCCCTTCCTTCTGGCCAGTGTGGTAACAGCAAAGGGAAAAAGAGG